CGCGTGCTGTCCAAAACCATTGGTGACGCTCTGCTATCGTCGCAGCTCTTGTGGTAATATGGGCGTCACAATCGATACCCCTACTGTGAACTATTTTTGCACATTTGGGGTAACATACATAGCCCCCAATCAATAGTGGGAGGCCCCCAAATAGCGCCTCGTTTTTGGCCTGCCATCATTTCTGTTGTACTTTATGCAGTTCTGCTCTGCAGTACGACGTCAAGCAAGCATGCTGGACAATCAACAGCACCCAGAAGAGATTTCTGGCAGATAGGAAACGTTTCATTCGGCAAGCGCAGAGTTGGGTAACAGATACAAGCGGTGCAAAGGTGTTTGTGGTTACAATCAGATCCCCTTTGGTGCAACGCAGCCATGGCCGCCATGCATTGGCAAGTCAAGTTTGTATTGCACCGCGAGTTTCATTCCAATGCCTGCGATTTCAGGACATTCTGGTAAACATTGTGTATTGTAAAAAATTGAAACCCAACAATGGCATAATCAAGAACGTCCACAGCCCTTACAAATTACTTGCAAAATGCACAAGAAAGTGAACGTATCACTCCAATGCAGACTTCCCACACTGCGCTCAACGCTGTGCCACTGTGGCACAGGGTACGCCAGTTCGATGGGTATATTTCGCATCTAAATAGCCATCATGATAGCCAATGGGTCTTCTTCTACTTCAAAAGTGGTGGGAATATCATGCGATGGGCTAAATTGTGATGAAATGCATTAAAGCAAGTCAGCGTTTCGGCATCCAGGCCCCAATACCCCCCTGTTTTGGCCATGTCACTTGTGGGCGCTATATAGGTAATCCCCATTGTATTCCTTATACTATCTGCATCTCGTTGAGGTTGAATGTGCAGTCTGTATGCCAAAAGACTTTGAGAATGTAACAAAGTGTTGTAATTTCAATGGTGTCGTGGTAGCTTGCAAAAAACACACTGCTGAAATTTTAAACAGTTTAGGAATAAATGAAGAAAATGCAAAGGAATGGATGATTATATACACATGCAAATGGACATTAAGAGTTGCACCTGAGCAAAAAACACAATGAGGAAGAAACATAAATATGTGGGTATAGTCGCGATAGTCGCGTGAAGGTTCCACAACGCAGAAAAAGGCCGAGCGAAATGAAAATTGAATGAAGTTCGCGAGCGATGGTTTTGAGAAGCAAAAGTTCCGCGTCTGCGGTTGAGACACCATGCACGCAACTGCCAAATTTTTGTTGATCCTTTCGTCCTCGACAAGTTGCCATTGTAAACGCCATCACAAACGCCAATCGACTATCGCATAGTGCGTTCAGTTATTGCTTGACACAGCCGCTATGGATGGATTCACTCAGTTTCGTCTGATTGCCACGCCATGACAAACTCCTTTCGCCCACAAGGACTCCAATGCCGTGGCACCCTCCGCAACGCCCGCTAGACAATGTTCGCTTCATCTATCTCATAAATGGACGAATGGATCGGTTCAAATTGCCAAAAATACGATATCCGCCGACTCGCTCAACGCCTCATTGCCGCGCAGGGCATTGAACACAACGCCCAAACCCACAGCCGGAAAGCGCGCGCCAAAACGCCCCTCTCCCCCTTGCGACCTCCCCGTTTCTGTCCGACGCGTTCGAACATAGCGCCACGGGCCAATCAACAGGGCCCAAGCCCAAACCCCAAAGGCCACCCCGCGCCCAAGCAACCGCGGGCTTGACGCACGGTCCTTGGGCTCAGCGTCCCAGACGCAGCCGTCGACAAACCAAGGCACGGAAGGGCGAGCGTCGCGCTGTCAAACCGCACCGGATAGACCACGAGGGGCGCCAGCAAACCTATGCGCGACGGCGGCAACCGCCCGGCTGCCCAACCTGCACGCTTGGCGGCCGTCCGGAAAGTATCGCTCGAGAACGGCCGTGACTGGGAGCCAAGCTCCGCGGCTGGCGGGAGGCGCGGGAGGGCTGCCCTTGGAGGGCGCGGGGGCGGGGCGGACGCCCGGGGGCAGCGCCCGGCAGGGGCGTGGCAGCCCTCCCGCGCGAGAGCCCTCCTGGCGCGAGGCGCTCTGCGTCGCCCTGGCGGAGATGCGGGGGGCAGGGTTGTTGCGGCTGGGGATCTTGAGGACTGAATTTCCTTGCTGTGGGGAGGGGACGCCCTCCTGAAGGGAGGTTTGGTGTAGGAGCGGGGGATCGCTTCTTTGGGGTTGTGCCCTTACTGAGGGGCATATTTTTGGCATTAGGAATTAGTGAATTCATAGAATTTGTTCGTGTTTACATTAGATTTCAGTGAACTGATGACAGGCACTGCTTTGCTCGGGCAGAATGGGAAGCTTGCAGCTACCTCATTGCCTCTTTGTGCAACAATGATGATGGTGCCTGATCTGCTAGGTGTGGGGGCGTGAAACGCGGGACCGCGCGCTTGTGCTGACTCTATCTTGCGGCGGTGCAGCGGAGCGCCGTGTCGTCAATTGAGAAATCTTGCGGCGGTGCAGCGGAGCGCCGTGTCGTCAATTGAGAAAATCTCTCGTTTCTCTTCTTAATTCAATGAATAGAGACGTTCAGGGGGATGCACATCCGCCTGCCCCTTATTTCGCACAATAAGGGCTGTGACAGTGGAATGTTTCATTGAAAGCGGGTTGCGAATGTTTTGTGCAAACGCGCCACTGGTTCAGCAATTCGCAAACGCAATCGATGGTACGTTTGCGGAGAGAGAACTCGGGGGGCAACTTCACAAACAGGCGGAATCCCGAACATGAACCTGGCAGAATATTGCCCGTTGAGCACAGTTTCTAATTGTGTAACAACTGTGTTTATGTGGGACCAAATCGCGTTACCTTGACCGCGTTTTTGGCGGCACGTTCACCAGTGATACTGCAAGCCACTGCCCTGCTGTTGTTGCTGTCATTGCCAAAGCAACTACTACTGGATATTGTAGTATATTGTTAGAGTTACTTTTCAGCAAAATATCTTGGAACAAATACACTATTTGCCGTAATTACAATTGTAATAACAGTTTCAATTACCTCTATTTGCCAACTGTATTACAGCAAGGAATGATTTGTTGTTGTTCTTATCCTGTTGAGGGGATACTCAATCATTTCCAGACAGCACCCTGCAAATGTTTTCGCAATGAGTGCAATAGTCTTGAAGAGGGTGTGATGACTCAATTGTCCACCAGACGAGCCGTCCAAACGTGAAAGAATTCTGTACTGTATGCTTGACACCGAGAACACCGATGTTCTGGTCCCCAAAGACACCAGCACCCAGCACAGCCGTTTATTTAGGCTCCCCCCCTGTCCCCCTTCTATCTTGTTTCGCACCCAAGCCCTTTCGGCCCTCCTGCCCTAGAAAGTGGAGTTCGGTGGAGTTGTGGGAGAGGGAAGGTGTGGAAGTACTGGATTAAGGGGGCTGACTCAGGGCTGAGTCACGGGAGAAGTGGCGTGAAGTATGTGCAAAGCGAAAGGGCAGGTTGCTAAGTACCGGGACCTCGGGTATTTGGAGTTCATGGTGACGGGCACCTTTTTTGTAAATGTCTTGTCGTGTGGGGAACATGACCGGGTGGGTTCAGGAGGCCGGTCAGGTGGAAACGCCTTTGATTGTTATGCTTGATCCTATTCGTGTTTATCTGCGGGGGCTATGGAGCGATTGAACGGAGGTGTGGGAATGCTGAAAAATGGGAATCCATTGTTGACCGCAGCCAGTTGTGGACTTTGTCGGAGTAGCTGCACACTACTAAATTCCAGTAGACTGCCTTCGGCGGACGTGTGGCAAGGCTTCGTCCCAAGCTGGGACTCCTAATCCATGCGCAACCAAGGTGAAGTGGCAACAGAGCAGGTGTCCCGCAACAGCTACCCTATTTGGCACTGGCTGCAAGAGATCGCCATTCACAGCCAGTCGCTACTCAGAGGACGATATTGCGGGATCCCTCAACCTCGCCTCAGCAGTTTGTTGGTCTCTCGCGCCTGTGCTGTCTTTTTGCACTTTTCGTCTTGTGGGTCCTGGCGCAGGAGCTCCGGCCAGACAATCCCAACAAAATTTGCTAGCAGCCAGCGCTTAGGCTGTAGAGTTCAAAGCGGGCACTTGCATCAGGTATGATCAACAAAGCCCCGTTCCCTTGAGGGAGAGTGTCCAAATCAAAGTGCGGTACCGCCTAGCATATCACTAACAGTGCCCCTTTGCGGTGACCCAAAAAAACAACACTTTGGTGTTAAGAAGAAAACACAAAGAAGAGATCAGGCGCAGAGCCAAATAATCAATGATTACAACTTTCACCACGATTGGCCCCAAAGTGCGGATAGTGTACAGTCACGCATGCCCAGGGTAGGAGCGAACACCGCCCGCCAAACCCGTCTCCTTCTGACGAATTCAGCAAACAAATCAAAACCAGCCATTGCGATTGCCGCCGATCAACACCGATCGATCCAGCTACCGTTGATGTCACACCACGTCACTGCATCCGAGCTAGCAAGCTTGGGCATGTCAGGGGTGCACGCCAGGGGCCAGTCTACAACCAGACCGGTGTAAATGCACCATCAACGCACCACAATAACAGGGACCGCCTCAGTCACGCCCCACTTAAGTCGCTCTCATCCATTCTCTGCAATTCGACATCAAGTCTCCCTCCCCTTAATCAACGAAAACGGTTTGTTTCTTCTCACAATTTTGGATGGCCAGCACAACTCCTAACAGAGCTCATAAGCATTCCTCAGACCCTTCATGCATTGCCCTCAAGCACACATAAGAATTCTGATTTTGAAACCAAAGCAGGTACTGGAAGCGCCCATAGCGCTGATATCTGCAAGGCGCTAAAAGCACTATCCCAGGATCCAGGTCTGCCCTGGTCCAACGTCGAGCCTGTCCTCCAACCCCTGGCAACTCCACTTGGGCAAAAATCCAACAACAGTCCAAAATCGTGCTCAAAAACCATCCCTGGCAACAATATTACAAACCAGTAGCTCAGATCCACACGACCTCACAAATTTGCCCCCAAAGGGACACAATTCTGCCGCTGCCTTGCCTAGGCCAAGGAAGCAAACATCTGTTCCCACTTCTTTCTGTCGGTTTCGGGCCCTTCGTCTTCAGTGCTTGTTATTGCGTAGGCACGGTTTTCAGTGTCCTTAATTGCAAGGCACTGCATACACGCCTCTGCAGAGCATAGCAACATAGGGTGAACTGAGCAGAGGTGGCAGTCATAGCCTCCCTGAAATGCTCCAAGGCACCCTTCCGGGCTTGTGGGTTAGGGAATTGTTTCTGATAGTGGTTTTTAGATGCTGCAGTGGGTGTGGCCTATGGATGAATGTCAGCACTGGACCCACCATATACACCGCCTTGTGGGTGCGCTGGCTGAGGCATGCAAGCATTGCAGACAAGAGAAGCAAGTATGCACAAAGAACATCAAGGAGAGAATGTGCTGGGGGTTGCACCTGCTACTGTGATTCTGGAGGCCTGCCCCTGCCCAAGGTCATCCTGCAGTGACAGCTTCACACCCTTCTTGGTGCCCTTAGTATCTGCCTTCAACAGCGTGTTGAGGTCCGTTGATGTCCATGGCCCATCCGTCAGTCGGTCAGGTCGAAAGATGGTAAACGGCAAACCAGAGTCCATCAGAGTCTCCTCTGCCTTCCTCTTGTAGGTCAGCACCTCTGTGCACCAAATGCGCCTGAGTCAGAGCCGACAAAGCAATGGAAGGAGCAATGTTATGGTGTCTGTTTCGTTGCTCAGAATTGCGATGAAGTGAGGTGTTGGTGTGGGGTACAAACCCCAAGCAAAAATTTAGGTACAATTGTCCCAAATCACACAGCACAAGAACGCCCCTGGCTTGTACAAGAAACCATTGCAGGCATTCAAGCAGCAGATGAGATCCACTGCTGGAAAGGAAGAAACTTGCATTCTTGCATCTTCACAGGGAAGGCAGTGGCTCTTGTGCATTCTCACATCATGCTATCAACTGCTGCCATCTGTCGATCTGGGTCACCAGCTCAGAGCAGAAGTAAGCCCATCACCTATGGGGTGCACAGTCCCTATCTACCCCGTCCAAATGGATTACGAAGTGGCATCAGCACAAAAATCGACACTGGCGGAGGAGGTCAGGCAGAGGAGGTCTAAGCTCAAAGCCATCTTGGAAAATAGGTGTGATGAAAGTGCTGTGATGCCAGCATCAGTTTCTTCCTGTACTCGATGCACTGTGGACTCCCAGTGCGTGTCCCCAGTGTAGCTGTACACTGACACGTAAAACATCAGCCGCATGCAACCTACTGCTACAGCACATTGCATTCACCTTCGCTAAGAAATTCCTTTGCTGCTAGTTTCCCAAAAGCATGGCATGGTTAGAATCCTAAGGCGCCAGCAACCTCCCAGCCAGTTTTGAGCCAACCACACATGCTTAACGTGCTGTTGGCATTTCCTGGACCCTTGGCGTCTGACATTTGGCAGGCCTGTCAAATGTGGAGAAGCCCCCCAGAAGGTTTGGCAGAATCTCAGTGTGTTCAGGATGTTGAAACAAACCAGAATATTCTGTACCCGCAGAATGAGACTGTCTGCTACACACACTGCCAGTGCTAAGAATCATGAATGAGAAGAACTCTGCATTGCCCAGTTACTTATTAGCCATGTTGGAAAATTTGCTCACAGATATATCTATATAGGATTATATGCCCTGAGCCTCGACAGTGACGAGATTGCCAGAATGGCAGGAAAGATGAACAGGGGGCAACGTACTGAAGGTGTTGAGGATGTTGTATGGTATCTGCTTGACCCGTTCCACCCCGGCAGATGTCACCATTACAAACCGCTGGATGGTTTTTGGTGTTGCCTTTATCAGGTTCTGTGGCACAACATCGCAGCTTTGCTCGGCAGTCTGCCCTCGTGACCACCTGTCAACAGCAAAAGAGTGCTGCACTAATGACATGTCCTGGATGCCCATTCCACAGCAACAGGAGTTCAAGTGCTGTGATAGTTCGCGACAAAGTACCAAACACGCAACCCAACAAAGGAATATTCCCCTCCATTGCCTCGCAAGATGCCCAGGCATCCTTGTCACATAGTGCTGTAGGTACAAGCCAAACAACAAGTTGCAGAAGGGGTGCCCTGTTTTGTGATGGTGCACTGCTTCCATTCACTTCAGGGAATCTGGCCCTTCTAATGTTGTTCTGCTGTCTTGCTTGCGAGTCCTGACACAGCCTAGTCCTGACTAAAGACTAGATCTGAGGACAACCAACACCATACCTATCAATTGTCACTTGATGTATGGCATATGCTGCCTGATTTTTGCTTCACGCACAATTTCTGCCCAGACTACAAAATATGCATATTGGCTGGTGAATATGATGCAGGTGGCAAGTTTCCTGCATCTGAACATTTTGTACAGCAGCAACTCTCGCTGTGTATTGAAATTGCACACATGAATTCGATACAGGGCTATGAGCAAAAGGTGCATCAGGGTGCTCAAGTGTCTACAAACCAGAATCCCTGCGACCAGTCAATGGTTGCTCATCACTGCATGCAACATGCAATGGCTTTTTAGGGCCTGCTTGTCAAACATTCTTGTCAATTTCAAGCCATTCAATTTGACAATGCTGACATGCCCACCCTGTGCTTGCACTGGGGTGGCCTGCTGACCTGTCAGTGGGGAATGCCGTTGTGCCAACCAGGCAGAAAACACCATCCATACCCTCCATGCAGGCTTGCACTTCCTCAAAATTTCCCAAGTCATGGCTAAGGATCTGTTGGCAGATGGCAGGAAGTTTGTCAACATCAACAGCAAGGCCTGCATGAATCTCGTTAACTGTCAACAACTATGTTCATCAGCTTGTACCATACCATTGTCTTCGTGCCTACAGGCAATTTTCAAAGCCGGTTGTGATGTGGTTGTGATGTTCTTCAGCGCGGAGCCAAACATGCAAACTGGGGTGGGGTGGGTGTGGTGGGGTGGGTGTGGTGGTGGGGGGGGGGAGGTGGACGGTTGCGGTGGTAGTTGGCACGCTTGCATTTGGCTTGCCTCCGGCATGCTGTTCATGATTTCACATGCATATACACCTGTGGGCTAACATGGCAACCACCAGTTGTCAAAGCCAATAATGAACATTGTGGAATAAGATGACCTGGAAGCGTATTTTTCTCAAGTGCCTGTGAGGCAATAACTGTGTTCTGTTTTGCCATGCAGGTCGCCAAAAGAGTGAGCTGCAGTCTGGAACGAGGTCACCACAACCAGAACACAAGGACTGTGCTCTTGCAACTGCACAAGGGAAGCAAGGCAAAGGCCTGTGTGGGAAAGTAGGGTCAGCGCACTTGCTTTCCATTGATAATCCGTGCCAAGAGCATACAGCAGATCCAGGCCTTGGCCCTCAAAGGCGACGACAGCCAGCACGACATGCAGAACAGGTTTGTCCATTCCCATACTATAATGGATTGTACTATTTGTCAATTGGTTGCAGCAAGGGCAGTGTGGTGGATCCACTTGTCCCACAATCAAGGCCGACAACAAACATCATGGCTAGGTTGAATAAGCACCACCAGCAACCAAAATACGCCATTCCACTGCCGCACAGCGTGGCTTTTCCAGCTTGCTCCATTTGCACTTAGTACTGGCTGCTGCTGCCTTTAGCGAACATACCTCGAGGTTTGGGTTGTCACGACCAAACAGGTCAGCTGCCTTCTCAGGATTTCTGGTGACTATGCGCACCTGGTAACCAGCCTGCACAATGCCAATGGGGAGCTGAGTCAGCTGAAGAACGTGGCTTTAACCACGATGTGCAACAGATGGTACAAAGTGGGGTGGGGGGGAAGGGGGTGGGGTGTGGGTGGGGTGTGGGTGGGGTGGGGGGTGGGGTGGGGTTTTCCTCTGCTCTTGAGAATCTCCTCCAGATTTCAGATGGCAAGACAGCAGTCACTGAGTGCCACACAAAGAGACACGAGTTGGCATCTGACCCAGGGTTCAGATTCTCCCCTCACGAGTCAGCAGAGCACTGCGGCTGCCTCAACGTGCAGCGCAGAATGCGCTGGTGCACAGCCTAAGGCCGCGATCGAAAGCGCATCCAGCCGTCTCCCGTCTTTCGAGGCACCGGGCCAACGTCACGCAGCGTCGCACTACCAAGACAAGTGGCGCGCACGGCCAGGAAGCTGCAGGAACACCCCATTATCAGTCACTCCGCATACGCCAGGAATTCGTCATGCTGATCCCTTCCCCTGCAGTGGGCTCGCGCCCGCTGCAGATACTTTCTACCCAGCGCCCGGGCGCCCATTCGGCCTCGGTCCGTGCGCTGGCCCGCAGCAGAAAAATGAAGGATGGGGAGTGTGGGCACGGGATATGACCAGCAGCAGCACGCCGCGCGTGCCAGGCGCCGCACCTCAAGCAACCTCGTCGTCAGGCGCTGTCCCACGCCCCCAGTGGCGCCAGCCACCAGCACAGACGCACCTGGCTTCTGCGACGCAGCAAGGGGCACAGATTTAAAACCAGCGGCCATCGTCAAAAATGAGGCCCCGCAGACACACAGGATAGAGGGCGGCGTCCTGCAGATGGACGGCACCCGCGCGATCCCAACTCAAGCCTCGGGGCCTCCGGCGCGAGTTCGGTCCACAATGTCGGCATCCAGGACAAACGACGGGAAGGAGATTGGCCTTTTCCGTTTTCCGTTTTCCGTTTTCCGTTCTTTTGCTGTTTTCCGACTTCGGGCGCATCCGCTAGGTGGTGTTCGGCATCGCCGCGACCAAACGGCGCAGACATCGCCCCCGCGTTGGGCCACGCCGCCCTGCGGCTCCCCGTCGCAATGGCCAACGCCGGCGGCCCCACTCGCACGCATCTTTTTGTCCTCCGCGAGAGCTTGAATCCCAAGAACGTCCACCGGCGCCGATGCCCACCTTTCCCAATCCCAACCGCCCCATCCCCCTCCACGGTTGACCTTTGCGTGACATGATCTCTGTGTTTGCAACCAATCTCCCCCCATCCCACCCCCCACCCTCCCTCACCAGGCAGCCAGCGGCCACGGGGACGGCCGACTGCGCCGACCGGCTGGCGGCCACCACGGGCTGGCGCCGGCATCCGTGCCGGGAGGCCTCCGCGACCGCCGGCACGTGCAACCGCCCGACCGCCTCGCTCTCCGGCCGCATCCCGAACCGCCTGACGGCCCTCTGTAGCGCCATATCTTCCCGAGGGCTTGGGCTGTCAGGCGGAGAGGCGAGTGGCGCTGTCAGCTGGGGGGCTGTGTCAGGGGCGTTTTCACGCGTTGTGTTGCGCCGCCCGAATCTTGTGGGCTCCGGAGGGCCGTCCTACGGGCGCTGTCTTGTGGGCACCACGCCGCATTGGGTTGAGGGCGAGGACCGTTTGTTCGGGCCACGCTCTGGCCGTTGCTTTGGCGCGGGGGGGGTGACGTGCGCGGCGCGTCGGATGCCACGTCGCCGGGTGTTCACGGCGCGGCGCGGGGGGAGAAATCCCGCAGGCGGATATTTTGGCGTGGGAGGATCACGGCTGGGGCGATTTTCTAAGTACCCCTACCGAGATGACCTGTTTGAGGGCGTGTATTGTTAGCTGTTCGATTGATCGATCTGATCTGCTGCAACCTTGTTTGAGTTGCTGAGCACGGCCTGGAATTAGTAAGTTAAAGGTGTACTATTTGTCCTGTTCTGTTGCCTAGTGTCCAGGAGTTCACCTGGAGAGAGCCGCCCTTGCTGCAAACCCCAATGTATGACTCCCCCTGACGTGTGACTGAGCCGGAATGGAGCTGTGAGCTGGGCCATGGGAAGCTGAGCTGGAATGACGCCTTAAGCCACATGAATCATCATTAAGGGAGACATGAGCCGGGAATTCATCATCAGTGAGCTATTTTATTTATGTACCTTCGTTCTGATGGAGTGCCAGGACCGGGACTATGGATTGCAATAGCAGGCATTATTGACTTCATCGTATTTTACTGATTTGTTTGATTTGATTGCTGAATTATTATGGAGGGACGTACTTTTGACTTAACGTGCTTGCTGGGGACTGGAATTGCTTGTTGGGGACTGGAATCACTTGCTGGGGACTGAAATTGAGCCTGTATGGAATGTGTGATGGGTTGTACCATGTTGGGGACAATTGCTGGAGAATATGAGACGTCTGGGGACAAGCTCAGGGGGCTCTGAACGGGGATTGTAGCTTTGGAGGCTTCTCGAAAGGTGGCCAGGACCGGGGACTGGGACACCCTTTTGCGGATATAAATACACATGGAACATTTTTGCAACACATTCTTTCTGGGGCCACCATAGCTTCTGAGCATGTGTTTTTGTTTCTAAACTGTCTTCAGACAGTGTGTTCCGCATCCGGTTTCGCCTGCAGGGAACGAGGCGACCGCGGTGTCTCCAGAAGATCGGGATTGCATTCGATGCCCATCAGCCCGTTGTGAGAGCTAGTCTGGCAATTACGGCTCTGCAGCAGGACAGGCCTGGTCTACAGCGGCCTGGCGCGGTACGTGGTACGTGGTACGTGGTTTAAAGGTACGTGGTTTACCGGCACACGGCCAAACTACCGCAGGTTTTTAAATCCTTCCGCATAGTAACATAACGCTTTGCCCCTTTTTCTAGAGGAAACCAAAAAACAAATGACGGTCTTTGAATGAAATTTTTGCGAAGCAACGTAAAATAAAAAGTAACGCTTAGAAATCAAAATGAGGAGCACAACGCGCAATGGTACAATTTCCGATGGGGAAGGGCTTAAAACCCTACGATATCTGGCGGTGGGCGAAATGCGGGGATTGTGGCTAGTCATTGCACTTTCCGGGCCCATCACCCTAGTGTAGATCTGTTGGGTGTTCGTTTTGTGCACTTTGAGGGTTGCGTCCGCCTGCGCAGGCCGCTTCGACCCGCAGACAGAGCCTGGCTCGGTTGTACACCAGGCGCTTTCTGCTTGTTGCATTTAGTTATAGTCTGGACCGAATCAGCCCCAGGGGTTGGCAAGGGCCTTGCCTACTCCCACGAAGGAGCAAAGCTCAAGCTAGGGGCAACAGACAACAAAAGAGAACTAAAAACACTTCAGAAACAAAGATTTAAAACAACAATGAGGCCAAGGTCTCACAGAATACGATTCGCACACATTTGGATATCATCCAACTCCCATCGAGGGTATCAGATATCTGAGGCACCCCAAGGCTGTAGAGTCCAGCCAAGGCTATGAGAATCGAGGCAAGAGCAATCAATCAAGAGTGTTCTTGCACAAAAAACAGTCCAACATGGTAACGGCCAGGCTTGGTTTTTACGCCGTAAAAACTGATCGTATTTATGTTTTTACGCGTAAAAATAGTTTTTACGTTTTAACGAGTAAAAATGCGTAAATACAACGTAAAAACTGTCTGGTGTACATAAGGACAGTACATACAGACTTACGGAGTCCGGAGAGTGGCAGCTAGGCGCCCTGGAAGGCGCATAAAACGAGTTTTCGTTAAGCGCCATCATCGCCCTTGCCAAGGCCGAGGTGGACATTGTGTTGAGGGTGCTGGAGTTGGCGGATGACTTATCATTGTGCGCAACTTTCATCGTATAATCTGGGTGTCCCAGGGAGCCGTAAAAACGTAAAAATAGCCATAAAAATAGGACCTTTTGCAAATTTACGTTTTTACGCGTAAAAACGTAAAAGTAAAAACGTAAACGTAAACGTAAAAACCAAGCCTGGTAACGGCGAACCGTCACTTGGAGGAAAAAGACGCCAACTTGATAAAAACAGTGATGCTCCAAGCGCAACAACAATGGAATCCTCACCACACCTCTGTCCTCAAGGCCTTACAAATCATCAAAACAATCATTCTGGTGTTAACCTTTAAGACTCTAACAGTTGAAGTATCAGGGGCGCACAACAGTGCGCCACCACAATGGAACGTATCAGCTAAATTGCAGTCACGTCAGTTTAGCTATTTCCAATCAATCCAACCCCAGATATTTCGGCAAATCGGCCTGACAATCTTCCTGATCGACGGTTTGCTCTAATGCCCCGCAACGCTACACAAACCCGTACTATTGTTGTTACTTCCACCAGCTGCACGTATCAAAATTTATCGCGCACAAATTTGTACGCGATCAATTTTGATATGCGCATGAGTAATTGTGCTGCTTACGTAAACAATATATTAATAATCAACCAACACATTGACATGTGCATGATATGTAAATGTACATTATGATTTAAATCATAATGCACGTTGTGGCGCAACTCCTGACAGCATTTTGCGCGGCGTGCAACCTGTCTGCAAATAGTATTAAATGCTATGAATAGCAACGGAATGGTGTGTTTCGAAGCGCACATCGCACCACAAAAAGAAATAGGGCACAGAAATGGGGATTACAATGAGAAACGGGCAACATGCTGCCTCACAGCTCAAGATATATGCGCCTGGTATAGACCGCAGATTGCAGTCATGCTGGAGCATCTGCACTAGATGCACCCTCTACTGCATTTCAAATACCACCCCAGCATGTAATACATAAAATAAAGTGCACAGCAGCTGAGGCAAGCTTTGACCTAAACAATTGTCAGCCTCCGTCATCGGCCCTCCCTCACGATCATCGATAGTAGCAGGCTTGGTTTTTAAGTTTATGTTTACGGTTTTGCTTTTACGCGTAAAAGCGCAAATTTTGCAAAAGAAGCTATTTTTGCGGCAATTGTTACGTTTTTGCGGCTCCCTGGGACAGCCAGGTTACACGATAAAAGTTGCGTACAATGATTAGTCCTATGCCATATCCAGCACCCACAACACTGTGTCCACCTCGCCCTTGGCAAGGGCGTTTAATTAATTTAAAAAAGATGGTGTTTAACAAAAACTCGTATTCTGCCACTTCCAGGGCGTCTGGCTGCCACTCTCTGGACTCCGTAAATCTCTATGTACTGTCCTTAGGTACAACGGGCAGTTTTTGTGTTGTATTTACGTATTTTGACGCATGTTTACGCATAAAAATTTAAAAACTATTTTTACGCGTAAAAACGTAAATACGATAAGTTTTTATGGCATAAAAACCAAGCCTAGATAGCAGTGTACAGGCTTTTTATTTACGCCATAAACACAGATCATACCTGCATTTTTACGCGCAAAATAGTGTTTACGTTTTTGCGTGTTAATATACGTAAATACAAAGTAAATATAACGTAAAATACAGTCCTGTATACATAAGGACAATACATGCAGACATCGGAAGTACGAGGAGTGGCAGCCAGATGCGCTGGAATAGGTAGAAAACTGGTTTTTGTTCCTTCAATCGTTGCCCTTGCCGTGGGTGAGGTGGACTCTATGTTGCGGCTGTTCGAGGTATCGGAGAAATGACCATTGAGCGCGACTTTCATCGTGCAATCTATGCTTCACAACGAGCCGCAAAAACGTGAATACCGCGGCAAATATAGCCCTTTCTCTAAATTTACGTTTTTACGCATAAAAACGTAAATGCAGAAATGTAAATGTGAACAACAAGCCTGGTGGTGTACACTATCGTAGCGCTACATAACAGGCTGTTGCAATATACATGCTGAAACACATCCGACGAGTGGTTTTTGGAGTGGCATGGGTTTTTGGTTCCAATGCTCTACTTTGAATGGGACTTCAAGCTGCTTGCAGATGAACTCTCATGTTCCCTGTTCATGCCTCATTGCTCAACACACAAAACCCGGGATTGTTAAATGGGCCCCTTTAGGACAAGGCAAGATTTGTCCGTTTCCCTTCCCAAGATGCATCCTAAAGTAGTGGATTTGACTGCCATCTTCATTGGGCAACCTTCCTCCTTAGGGAAACTGCGCTCATGCGTTAATTTAGGCCTCTCGCTGTGGACCAAATCAACTGCGATCATTTGATGGCTCATTCACCAATGAAAAGCGCAATATTGTTTCATAACGTGTATGTCGTTTCCCAAGCATATACTTCTCGCCGCTTTTGTAGCATCATATGTGTACATACCTTAAAAGCTATGTGCAGTTGTGATGCAACATGAAATTTTTCCGTGCCTTTCCCGGTGCTATTGGAAGCATGCAAACCATCTTCGTTGTGCGGAAGGTGTAATCGAATACCATACCCAGGAGATGGACACCCATTGCATGACGTGCAGTCCCTTTACTTGGATGCGTTTTTCTTCCCAAACACCCCGGTGCAGACTATTATCACGAGGATCGTCATTGACCTGCCGTGCAAATCCCCACAAGACCCCATTTAGTACAGTACTGTTTCGATCCAATACTGTGGGGTAAAGTTCGGTGTATTCCGTATCTTAGAGGCGTCACCCACCATTGCCTTCCAAAAGCGCACTGGGCACAAGATACTGTGTCTTTACCACGGGGGGTGGCGCGGTTTAGCTGCGGAGCGCCCGGAGTGCGGGCGCGCAGGAACGGCGTCATGGCGGGTGCCGGGACCCTGTCCGCTGACGCGCCGTCTCAGTGGGCGAGCCACCGCGTGTGGATCGGAATGCACCGATTCGGCGCCCGTCGGGCGAGCGACGGACGGTGCCGGGCGGCGATTGCCGCTGGCCGCCGGCCCACTGTGCGCCCGCCACCGGCGCTGCAGGCCTCCGTCGGGGAATCCTTCTCTTCGGAAAAGAGGCGGGCCTCTGAGGCGCCAGCGGCTGAGGAAGGGTCTGGCGATGGCGAAGATCAGGGCAATGTCAGGCGAACATCCGGGTCGATGGCCTCAAGCTCGGGATCCGAAGTTGGGCTGCACAAGTCGGCGATGGCCCTGGCGAGGAGGGGGCGTGTCGGTCCGGCGCTGAGGATGCTGTACCAGGGGATCGACCGCTACCCCGACAACCACTTCTTTTTGACGTCCGCGGCCGTCCTCGAGGGCCGGCGGGGGCGTGTCGCCAGGGCGCGGAGGCTGTTCGAGAGGGCGCACGCGCTGAAGCCGGACAGCGCGCCCACGCTTCAGGTGGGATGGCGCGGGGCCCGGCCTGTCGCTGGCTCGAGGCATTGGAGTCGTGGGTAAAGTGCCGCGCACCGTCCTGAACATGATAATTTGCTGGCCGGCGTGTTGGCAATGTGGAAGTTCATCAACAGAATCTGTGCATGGCTATGTCGTTCACAATGTTTTTGCAATTTGATTGCCGTGCAGTAATTGAATGGCCGTTTCCCTTGGCAGAAATTTTTGGAAATTCTGCTTTGCACGGGGTTGCTCGTTCGTACACCTTTGTGCTTACACCGACGTGGAATCCAGTTCTTTGTTAATTTTTTCTTTGGAACTCTCAAACAATGAGTGTTGGTGCATGTCAGGCCAAGCATGCTTATGCTGTGCTTATCTACAGTTAGATTCAATGGAATCGATTGTGCGATGCTTGGCTTCACTTTTCTGTTGCTCCATGCAATATGCTGGGAATTCTGATGGAATTCCTCTCAAGTTATGAGCCACAGGTATACCGTTCTGTTGTGATTGCAGTGTCACAGTTGCAGTTACAGTTGTTGCAGTTGCAAGTGTGGAATCCGATTTTATGCTCCTGGATAGCACACGTTGATGAGCGCAAAATTCACTGTTGGAACCGAATCTTTGAAATCTAGAGGCTGCAGTGACATTCAGGACATCTCTTTTGCGGCAATCTTTGCAAGGCAAAACATTTTTCACCTGTTGCCAGGCCTGGGCGCTCCTGGAGTCACAGAATCATAAGGTGTCACAAGCAGTAAGGCTGCTGAAGATGGCTGCAGCAGCAGATGCATCGCATGCACCAGTCTTCCAACTGTGGGCACTCCTGGAGGCACAAAGGAACAACGTGTCAGGTGCCAGACGCCTTTTCAAAAAAGGAGCGGAAGCAGATCCCAAACATGTTCCAAACCTGCATGTGAGTTGCTGGCAAACAAAACAGATCGCATAGACAAGAATTTAGCTCTCTTGCTGTTGTGTTTGTGAGGATGCAGGGCAGCTCTTTTTAGTGGTGGCATTAAAGTTTCCATTGTCTGCTGTTTGGGACATCTGCTGCAAAACCAACGAACTGAGCAAGAGCTCTTGAATAGATGTCAGTGATACCATCGTTTGATGACATTCACCACCTCTGACAAAGTTTGCCCTTGCGCACAAAAATAGCAACACGCCTGCATTTTGAAGTGTAGATGAATTGACTGCCTTGTTGAATGAACAGGCCTGGGCTTCTCTTGAAATGGACAATGGGAACCGCCAGTTGGCTCGGAAATTGCTGGAGAGGGGCTTGAAGGTTGATCCCCATCATGCCCCTTCCTGCAATGTAAGTGAGCTCAGCTGAAAGATCCTGCAAAGAGTGGAGCAGACATCCACATTTCACTTGTACTAATGTGATCAAAGCACTGCTCTTGCATCTAGCGCCTGTGTTGAAGACAAGAATCCGGGTGCAAAGTTGGCCACTGCGCATATAGCCAGACGGAGTTGTATTGCGCGTTGACTCCTTGCGTTGCTGTGACTTTTTATGTCGATGCATAACTTAAAGCATTCAAGCAGACAACGGCATTCGTCATTGTCACGATGATTTCCTTTGTGAAGAGGTTTCAATATCATGAACGGCCCCAAACACCTGATGCCAGTATTTGTGTGACTCTGAACCAATGCCCCTCGGCAGCAGATGAAAGCAGATCTGCATTCATCAATGGTGGTTGCCCTGCTTGGTTCATGTACGTGTTGTTTCGTTGCTGTCCCTGTTTGGTTCACCAGGATTCCTGTGCGTGCTGCCCAGTCTCTAGCCACCATGGAGTGGCAGGCCGGCAACTATGCAGCAGCACGGAACATCTTCCAATCCGGCCTGAAGTCTTCAAGGAGAGACTCTGACATCTTACACTGCTGGGCCATGCTGGAGCTGCGAAGACAGAACCTCAAAGTTGCAAGGGAACTGTTCGATAAGACTCTGAAGCTGAACCCCAAGCACATACATACCCTGGTGAGCTGGGGATCCATGGAAGCTCGATCGGGGAATGTGGAAAGGGCACAGGAATTGTACAAAAAGGCGGCACAGGTGTCCCCAAGGAACACCTTTGTGCAGCACAGCCTGGCCCAGTTCTACCAACAGCAGGGTGACACTGAGAGGGCTAAGGAGATCTGGCAGAGGCTGGTGGAGTTGGAACCTGGGTGTGGGGTGGCTTGGCATGCACTAGGTATGCTGTGTGTGGCGAGCGGTGACCTAGCTGAAGCGAGGGCACTGTATCAAAAGGGGATGGCCGTCAGGGGTGAGTGTTGAGTGAGCAAGTTTTGATGCTGTTCGTGCTTCTCTGCTATATATGCAATTCCTGCTGCTGCTCATCGAACGTTGATATTGTTCTGCAATAACACTGTGATAACATAGGCACATTCACATTTGTGCATGTTCGTACTGGAGACCTACTCCCTGTACTTGCTGTGCGCAGATCCAAAGGCAGCCCTTCTGAATTGTGAGGGTCTGGCTGAATTAGAGCTGTTCTACGGGAATGCGGGGGCTGCCTGCAGGGTGTTTAGGACAGCAGCGCAGAACTACAAAGTGAGCGCTAGGTTTCTCAGGATGTGGGCAGCTGCAGAGAAGCGACTGTCAAATCCTGAGGAGGTGTCCCGTCTGCTGGAAGCTTCAGCACGCAGAGACCCACAAGTAGGTTGTGTGCCCCAAACACAAACCTCACTCGCCTCCACAATAGCCCAATTGAGCAGTCATTTGGGCAACGATAAAGCCTTGGGAGAAGGCAGACAATTAAAAAACATCACTTTGCCACATTTTCTGCGCGTTTGCATTTTTCCCACCAGCTTTTTGAGACTGACACACGACAACAGGCCTTGTTTGGGCATTATGTCCAGCTTAGCTTAGACCCCCACTGTCTGGCGTGTCATGCCAACTCCTAGCAAGCAATGGACACACTTGTAGCCAGCCTGGAGTTACCTATCTGGGACCTGACCGGGCTGCTGTGCATGTTTTGCAAGTCACAGGACTTACAGCAATATTTTTTGGTCCATGCAGATATCAGAACTTGGAACGACATGGACTACAATCCCACAAACAGCACTATATGTTAGAATGTGTATGGGAACAGAAGAACCTGTGTTCCAAAGGGAGGGGGCCAAGCATCTTCTCTATGTATTCATGATAACTCTGTTTGCTAACTTTTTTCCCTATGTTTTATGAAACCCCATGCTTAGTTCCTGCCTACCCTTTTGCTCCTTTTCAGGAATACAGGACGTGGTTAAAGTGGGCACTGCATGAGCGAGGCCGTCAGAACCATGACATTGCTGAGCGTTGCTTTCGGCGTGCAATGGAGGTGGCCCCAGGCAGCCCCCATGCTTATCATGCCTACGCAACCATGAAATATTCCCTTGGTGACACAGCAGCAGCACGTGAAGCTTTTGCAGCTGGTCTGGAGACAGCTGCAAGGTGATCATGATCTTGGGATGGGAGGGTACCATGTGGACATGCTGTCTTTCCACCGTCTCCTGCAAGAAACGAGTCAGCGAGCTATTGCTCACAATGGCCAGAGTGTGGCACATGGACTGTCAACGGAGCTCTTTGGACAGCACACAATAATGCACCACCCTGAGATTTAAACCACTCTGCAAGTTCGTTGAAGAAGGTGGCATTGTGCTGTTGTTGTTGTCTGGAGTGATGCCGTTTGCCACACCCTCAATGAACAAGCAGGTATGGTCACAACAGCATTTCCTGTGCCCAGGTCTTGTGTTTCGTTTCCTCTGTTCCTGAAGGTATGCCTGCTCAAAGGCACAGAAGTCATAACCGCCGACAGGCCACGAGGCATTATTGCACAACCTGTCGGTCTCCACATCTGATCACTTATTGCATTCATGTTTATGGCAGGAGTGGTCCACTGATAACAGAGTACGCATTGATGGAGTGGACTGAAGGTAACATTTCGAAGGCCAGGGAACTTTTCTCCTTGGGCGCTGAGCTCCGCCCCTACCTTGCTCATCCCCCACTCCTGGACGCATGGTCTCGACTGGAAGCCCAAGAAGGCAATCTCGAACTTTCCAGAGAATTGGAGGCGAAGTACTGGTCGATCTTGAACAAAGGACGATCTGAGGCTGCTAGCACATCAATTGTTGAAGTAGTTGATATGGGCAATGCTGGGGAAGACAATTTTGACGGCGTTGATTCAGAAGAGGGCCTATGACTAAACCCAGTATTTGTATGCATACCACGATTTGTAATTTTGGGCAACAAACCTGATTTTGTTTCATTCCTAGTGTCTAGTGGCTCATTGCTTTGCTTGTCAGGCTCAAATCCATGTGTTGGAAGGTGAACATGTGTATGGGGTATGTATTTGTGGCTGTTGTCCATGCCACACAGATGTGGGGTGGAGGGTGGATTTGCATCCATCGCATTGCCCTGAGTGTGCCTCACAACCAGAATGTTGTGAGGCAATGGAGCGTTGTGAAATCCACTGGAACTAAAGAGGGTGCACCGCACGTTACGGGACCACTTGCGGAAATGCCTGCCTGCAGCCCTTCCTGTTGCCTGTGCTTGATCTGATTCATGTTTCAAAGTTGCATTTGGCGGGTCCCGATGGTGGCTTGTGGGTACAGCAAAGATCCTGCAGTGCTTGGATGACGAAAGGTGTTGCCAAGAGGAATTCCACACAAATTGTGCCAGCCTCAACGAAGGGCTCTGGTGCGTCATCCTGCACCTGTTGCCGATGCTTGTCTTGAGAAACCAATGCTGCATGGGTTTGCCCATTTGTTCCCGTCAGGCCATACCACTGGCTACATTTCAGCTTCTGCCATGTCCTGTTGTCAGGTGAATTTCGTGTGTCTCACTGACGTTCTTGCAGGTACCCTTGTCTTGAAGTCTGTGCACGAAGTTCCTGGGGCCAGGAAAGGGAAAGCCCTCCGAAGTGGAAGGTGGTTTACCGAGGAATCCAATTCCGATTTGGTTCAAAATGCAGGATCTTGCTCAAAAGTGCGGTCGCCATTGCACTGCGTGAGTTCCCTACCATTTCCAGAAACCTTCCAACAAGGAGGACGGCATCATCGTAGAATCGTGCCCAAGAGCGGGCAAGTGTCTGCAGAATGCGTGATGCAGGCACCAAGGCACGGACTCCGGACTCCCTGGCTGCAGCAGTACATTGGGCGGGGGGGCGCGACACCGGTGTTCAAACATCTCCAAGGGATACGGGAGAGATGAACTAATACACCTCCCCTGAGACCTGTAGCTGACCTCGCCTGGGCTGGCCTTACCCAGCCCTAGCATGTGTGTTAAGTTAGGAGTCTCACGACAGTGAGGGGCGCAGTGACAGAAACTGCCCGGCCTGCTCGCGCCTGGCCCATCGGCGCCGATGGGCAGCGAGAGCTCTTCTGGGCACGCGTCGGGGGCGGACCTCCTCAGGGCCGAGAACATAAGGTTCTCCGTCCGCCGCCGCGCCGCCCTCGCCGCCGCTCCGGACGAATCCGCCTCCAGCGACAGCGACGAGGGCGTTTGGGATCCGGCCACGGGGCCCACGTCTGATGGCGCGGAATCCGGGGATGTGTGGGGGGAAGGGAATGGGGGCCGGGCGGAAGCGCAGGATCGTCCGGCGGAGGGCGTCGCAGGCCTGTTTGCGGCCTGCAGCGTGAGGGAGTCGCTCGTCGAGGGCATAAGGTCGATGCTGGACGGGATTCTGGTAGGGAATGTTGGCTCTTGCGGAAGGGAAGTAAGGCGTATCGTGCCTTGGGCACCCTCCCGCAGTAGTGATTATCGCTGTGATGCCTCGTTTCGTATTGTGGGGAACTGTGCAGAGAGCTTTGCGTGCAACACGAAGTGGGGAACCAGCTGCTGGGAGGACTATGTGTCTGTGGTCCTTTTGTATCTGGTGGCGTTTCCTTGGAATTGCACTCTTGGCCGGACTTCACGCATTCCCCTCGGCCTCCTGGTTGGCTGCTGTCCCTGCAGTAAATGCAGAAGTTCCCTGTGTACCTACAAACGTACGCTGGTGTGTCCAAACCAGCGTGGAGTTCACTGGTACCTCCGAAAAGACATGATCACCTTTGCAAGATTCAATCGGGGTGCCCACCTTCTCCAGACTTTGCGGCTCACGATGCCATGGCCCCCACAGAACATGGTATGCTATGCTTTTGACTTGTGAGTTGTGAGGATGCAAGGTGCTGCACTTATTTGGCACAGGACAATGGAGCATCGCGGGAAGCGATCGAGGACTTGCTATCACGAGCTCGACAAGGAGAAGCTTGCAAGGGCGTGGTACCCCCAGAGGCTATTGCTTACTTGTCATGCGTGGCCAGCCGCTTCCAAGATCGGCCTCCCACGGAACCCAGCAATAGCCACAGCAGCAGCATGAGCAGCACGGCATCTGAAGATTCGCATGCCCCCAAAGATGCTCAAGAGCCCACAAAAGCGGAGTCCAGTGGAAAATTCTCAGAATCGATGGATCCAGGGCCAGCCACCCAAGGAGTCATCGTGCAGGTTTTCCCCACAAAGCAGGCAATCGTTGAGGCTCGTTTTAGGGAAAGGGCTGGCATGGCCCTCAGCTCCGGCACTGGTCCTGAATTGGGTGTTGGCAATGCTGAAGTGGCCAGGGGACCTGTCGTGCATCAGGCTGAGTCAGGTGCAGTCATGGGCACAGCCTCCGTTGATTATCAAAAGTGGGGCTCTGGCGACCGACTTGCGATACCCAGTCGGCCTCCAAGCAACTGCAACATGCATACTCAACAGATGGTACCTCTTGACACATATGCTGGGCACGATGAACGTGCAGGCCAGGAGGCACCTGGCCCAGTGAAGGACGTTGCTATTGCGGGCCAGGGGTCCACGCTTCAGACAATGACTCCCGAACAGTCAGCAGTTCGGAGCTCCAGCAGAATGCGATCTTCGCCTGCTGCACACTTCAGCACAGAAGATGCCCAGGCTCAAGCAGCTGCTCAAGCTGTGGATCTCATGGGGGTGGGCTGTCACATGAATGGCAACCAGCTTGTGGCCGTAGCATCTATGGTCGCATCGGCAGCCACAGCAGCTGTTTCAGCTGCACTTCGTGGTTCAGACACATCGAAAGATCAGAGTGCTCAGCAAGTCACTTTGCAGCAGCTCTCTGGGCAAGGGGGGCAAGGCCACACACTCAGGGGCAGAATCGTGTACACCCCTAAGGAACAGCAAAGCACAGAAGGGACATTGAACTGTGGTGCTCCATCTGAAAGGGGGGACGAGGGCGGTGTGCAAGAGCTGCAGGGTTATAGCCCACGGCGGTATTCGTCCAACATGCCCATCAGCGGCTTGCAGCGATCACAATTGACCTTGTGCGATGTCACGTGCCAAACGGACGATGCTCCTGCCATGATGCAACAAGGACCATACCATGCATCGTGCACGGGCGTGTGCACTGCTGCTCAGAACAGTAACAGACCTCACGATGTCAAGCACCAGGTACCAGAGGCTGCAAAAGGCACAAGTGTGGAAAGGGTTGCAGAGAACAAGTCTTCCATTGCCGATCCAAATGGCACCACCAGACTCAGAGAGCGCACGGTTGGGTCACAGCTGCCAACAAGTGTTCCTGGGGCCGATGCAGAATGCCAAGATAGAATTGTACATGAAAAAGTGGCTGCCACAACGCCAAATCCATTTGTCTGTGATACTCGCAAAGGTGTTGAGAACCATAAATACGAGGCCATGATTCCACCCCCATATGGCGCTTTGAAGCAGTATATTCACAAGACTCCAGTGCTCCCCCCGGAACTGACGAAGTCTATATCAAGGGCATACGAGGAGCTGGATCCGGACATGCCCAAGCAGTCCAAGTTCGAGCCCAAGATATCGCCCCCCAGGGATGAGATTTACCAAGAAGCATTGCGGTGTGTGAATTTGTGCAACACAGGCGATATTATCACTGCCACAATGCACTGTCGATCACTGCTGGCAATGTACAGTACCAGTGGTGCATCTGCCTGGAAGCATATTCCGATCACGAAGGTCCTGTTACCTGAAACTCCAGACGCTGTCAGAGATAAGACCACCTAGTTCGACCACATACCATACGTGTGTAGTGGTCATTGTTCCGCAGAGTTGTTAACATGGTATGGGTGATGTCACATTGCTTTCAGATGGACGTTTCAATTTGCAGCAAGGCACTTCATTCATTATGCTTGTGCTGGTAAATGCATCGATGAACCATTTCACCAAGCAAGGAACAGATCGAGAGTGCACAGTTTCTAGGAAAAGTATCCGACAGAGACTGGAGAAGTATATTCCAAATATCTGGGAGTGTCTTGCGCAGCTGACCCATCCATTGTGCTAGGTCAGTGGCTTCAAATCTGGGGGGCACGATCGACTACTCCCGTTTAAACAACCAACTTAACGCCCTGCGCTCGGGTTCAGCCCTTCTGGCATCTGGAGTGGGCAACCCGGGAATGGAACAAGACCTCGCTTCATGCATCCCTCCCCCAAAGCGACTCTGGGAAGATGGTAACCAAGACCTGTGCCTGGACGACATTGCCTCCTTTCAGAGTCTCGTGCAGCAGGAGGTTGGCTGCAGGGTGCAGGCAGCCCTTGCTGGAAAGCCTCCCACGAGGCGCAAGGCAGGACCGTCCATTGCAGGAAAGAGAGCGCGGCAGCATGAAGACGGCGCGGTGAGGGTGTGCAGTACCTGGCTTAGTTGCCGGTCGGCTCACGTGGCGTATCGATGTCATGGGGCGTTGGGTCTGCACGACATGCCGACAGATCTCTCCATGACCCCCCATAACCTAGAGGTATTTCCTAACAAACATGAGTAGGGCCAGAGTTGCCCTCGAATGAGTGCAAGGCAGGCGGTTTCAGAGTGTTAGTCATTAGTTGGGGATGAAATGACAGGGAGACTCGAGGCTCAATGGGATTGTGCCCCTTCCGCGCCAGCAAATCCAGAGCGCGCTCCATTCTGCACACAACTTGGGGCATGATCCTTTCCATGAGACCGTCACTGTCAAACTGGATGGCGGTTGAAATGGCTTTGACGCGGTGTTCTTTGTCCAATTTGTTTCAATTTGGCTGGAAGCGTATCCATTGAGCGGCTGATTTCGTCGGCAGGAATATCTTTCCTGCCCTGAGTTGTCCAGAGGGGGCCGTCGTGTGAAACGTTTTTTGCATCAAAGAATGTGAGTTTGATGAGGGACATGCGTTCACACGAACTCTGCTCCATGGGCCTTCCCCCGCGCTTGAACATATCAAATTGCTTTCCCTAGTTTGAGGAACATCCCCCGAATACCAACAGAGTATTTGTACGACGATATTTTGATTTGACTCTTGCGCAGGCAATAGAAAGTGAAGTGCATTTTAGGAGTTCTGTTGTTTCACACTTCGTGGCTTGATTTAGTCCTGGATGATCCAACAGTCGTTCTGCAAGCTCACAGTGCAGCCGGCTTCGAATGCTGTTGCCATTGTGCTCACAGGACCAGTGCCTTGACAAGGCGACAAGACTCGCGTGCCAAAAGGTCCAGAGCTTCGCCAATGGAAATCATCCAGGATTTCCGGCAGCGCCAAGAAGACTGCCCAAAGGCAAGAGGATCATTCTATTTGCCAAATGCCAAATTATGCGTTTACTGAAACAAAATGTTGCTGCACATTCACGGATATAACCGAGAACAGGTTAACAATATGCAGCAAACTGTTCTACGGGATTTGCCATTGTCGTGTCTGAGATCGCAGAGATCTTATGCAGCTTGGTCACATGCGTCATATTCCTGAAATCGTCATCATCAAATCCGTCGATTACGTTTGCCATGAAATGGCAAAGCACAGCCCTTGCACCTGATAGGCGATGATGGGCGTGAAAACCAAACCCTTCTGAAATCCATCCACGGATCTTTTAATGCCGTTTGTTGGCGTCGCCGAGACAAACAAATGAAATCTGTTCAGTGCGTATGATTTAGCTCCAAGAAAACAAGCAGTAGACCGCTGTTCACGTGTAGTTAGATGTCCTTCGGTATCTATCCCCATACACCACACAGCAGTCTACTGTCAGACCAAATCCAATACTGTACAGAAATGTGAAGGCTTCACATGCCTGTCCCATAGTACCCATCTATGGGGCTGATGTCGGTGATTTCTCAGCTTGAAAGGGAGCACCTCATGAACGCAATTGCAGACACTGTATCCTCGAATTTTTGCGTCCCTGCACGTGGCTTCCGGAAACATTGACTGCATTGCATCCATCCTCCCAATGAAATCAAGCAGGGCAATCGAGGCACAGAAAACGCGACACCCCTGACGTGGCCGGGGAATCTCCGCCGCTGTCGCCTCGCCACAAGGAGAACAGGTCGCCAAACCAAATGCATTCGCACGTCGATAAGAAGCCCAGGCAGCGGCCTCAGATTGCGTTTGGCAGGCGCGTGGCTCCTCCCGTACGAGGCTTGGATAGAAGCAACAGAAGAGCGAAGGAGATGCTTCAAGTGAGCAGCATCGCGATTCACGATTTCATAGAAACACGAATGAATGATATGGACAAAAACTGTGTGCAGATGCACGTCCATCGTTGGATATCAAGTGGAAGAAACGTGGCTTACGTTTTAATGGCAAAAGTGAGACTTTGATGTTGACGATGATAGTGATGCTCATGCATCACGTGATCTGATAGTTGAAGTGTATGGCAAACGAATTCAGCGATTTGCGCAGACAGCTTTTTTGGCAGTTGCCTCTACATCAGGGTGTCCGGGCGAAACTTGGGAATCCGAAAGCAGGCATGGTCGGTAATCTTGAGCGGTGATTCTTACATCCGAGACCCTGCAGCGCCTTTCATATTGATCTTTACGTCCTCAGCACTCGAAAGCTTGAAATTCTGAGCTGCACGTGTGGTTATTCTGTATGCAGGGCAATATCGGAGCTCCGGAGGAGCATCGACACTCCACCGAGGCTAAAGCGGAGTGCGCCCCACGCACACGTCCTGCGGAGAGCCCTCCCACTTCGACTACAGGCGGCACTGATGTATTTGTAGAGAACCTGCTCGACGCTCTCTTTGTCGCGGCATCCAACAGCAAGGATCCCCCCGTGCACAGATCGCCTCCCCAATGCAATGAACAGTCAATACAACCACCAGGCGCTAACGTTTCCGGTGTTCTTTTGGAAAAGCCAAGGCAGCCTGAGCGGCAAAACCATGATGAACATGACAGGGGTGTGGAATCGATGGCGCAACAGACAATCCACAAAGAACCTGCAAGATCTTTGGACCAGTGCACAGGGAGGGAGTTTGTCAGCGTTTCTGATATTCATGGGGCTCCAGTGGTACATGCATCAGCAGGGGGGGCACCAAATATCGAATGGCGCTGTGTACCATCGAGATCGAGAAATTGGGAAGCCATCGAGGATTGCGAACATCTGCTGGACGGGAGATTTCGGCAAGAAGAGCACCTGTGGGACAGAAGAGATCATGAAGGTGGGGGGGCGGGGATGCGCTGCACATTCCGCGGCATTGTGGCGGTGGGCCATGAAGCCGAGTTGGCATAGATGACGTCTGTATTTGCGTGGGACTCAGTCCTATGATGTACAATGCGAGACGGGCAATGGAGAACCTGCCAAATCCCCGGTGGGAGGCACAGCTGCGATTGATGCGCCCCACTTTTTACACTCAATATTTCACTGTAATCTGTTCACTGGCTATATAATTTCCCTTTTTTACCCGTTCTGGTAGATCTAAAATGTCAAGAATTTTGAAGTGAGCAGTTGAAACTACAATTAACACAAAGAACCAAAACTGAGAACAAAGGTAAACAAAAATCGTCTATTGAATAGCGCAGGCATAACCGCAGTCAATGTGGACAGTGCTTGGCAAGGGACACCGAATGAATAACGCAGAGATTTTTGCTGTAGAGACAGGGACTTTGCCGCACGCAATAAACGTAATTGGAGATAATGGCGACGGATTCCAGCTGCCAGTCCACGATGCTGCAAAGTGCGGATCGGAAGGCCCCAAATCTCCAGCAGACGAAGGTGCAGACCACCATGTATGCGCGTGTGTGTATGCGATGCATTGAATATGGAAGCAAATCACCAGGTTTTTTCTGATCAAATCTACGGAACGCTCTTTGAACGTTACCTGGGATCGTTACATAGTTTCCGAAGCCCCAATCTCATTCCAATGGATTCCACTTTCAATGGATTTGACATCGCGTTTGATCCACTGCACATCGCGCCCTCGGTCTGGTAATGTGGGATTGACATTGCACCTGAGGCCAGATCTTCTTTCGCCACAGCATCCATTGCATCCAGACTCCCTTCAGACCGATCGCGACACCTTTCTTCCCAGGCAACTTCAACATGCTTTTGTTTCTCCCGCCACCGTACTTCACCAATTTCTATGTGCAGGTCTGGATCATTCCATTCTCGACGCCCTTGTTGACTCCCTCATAAAAGCTCAAATCAGCACAGAGGAAGCCACTGGGCCAGCTGCCGCCGAATCAGAACTCAAGGACGACGAGTTCGAAAACCAGCCCGCGCCTGCCCCCGCTTCATCGCCAACTGATGCCGACGACGGAAGCCAGGGATCGGCGAAACGTAACGGCGGCGTTCTGTTGGAACCAGAGGCGCCCCATGCCCAACAGCACCCCGAGAGTGAGAGAGACCTACCTCTGACCCAACCATGCCCCCGATCAGCCACCCCTGCGGATACACCGGAGCCCACCCCCGATCAATCTGCACCGGCGGCCATCGAGGCCGCCAGCTCGCCATGCCCTCGACTGCCCCTGACCGTTAAGCCCCACGGCTCCGATTCCGACGTTTCTTCCAGCAGCAGGGGCGCGATTGCCATGACCGACGCACACCACAGCCGCCACGAACATGCGTTCGGCCCTTCTGGCGACCCGATGTCGCCAGCCAGCACTGCGGGGGCCGGCAGCGGCCTGGCGCAGAGTTCGCACACGAAAGGCACGGCTATCAACTTTGTGGACGCTGTGGTCCAAACCGCGGCGATTGAGCCCCAAGTCACGGAGGCCGCGGAGGTGCAAAATATGGCGAAGGGCGGCGCGGGACGCCTCCAACAGGACCGCCTCACGGACTCAAGCCTCCACGTGGAGGCGTCCATCCACGGGGACGTTTCCCAGCCGCCAGAGTGCTCGAAAATGTGCCGCGACATTGCTGAGCAGATTGGCAGCGATCCCTATGCGGTGGGCGTGGTTGGAAGTCGTCCTCACGCATCCCCTCTGCAGCCCGGTGTGTTCGGCGTGAACGGGACTGGAGTCAGTGTGGACCCAGACGCCGGGGTGCTGGGGTACGCCCCAGATACTCAAACTACGGGTCTTCCGTTGCCCGTCGGATTGAACCCCCAACAATGTCCTCCAGGTGATCATGCGAATGTCAATTTTCAAGCCACCAAATGCTCAACATATCAGAAAAATTGCGTTGTTGAGTTCCAACTGCTGACGTCGGTTTCTCTAGACAATACAAGCAAAGTCTGGGACATGGAATCATCAATTCAAGGTTCCGGGGCGCATTCTGGGTTCCGCATAGGCAGTACCATGTCAAGTACGTCAATGTGTGACAGATTACCAACTTGCTGAAAAGCATGGCACACAGCGTTCGCGGCGCATTGAAGGACAATGGAGGGGAGGTTTCAATCCATTCTCGCACGCTGATGTTATGCATCTGTTACATCACATTTTGCATCAGTGCAGTACTGTCTCAAAGTGAGAATTCCTGAAATGGCCTCTGGAATGCGCGTGGCATCCAGCAGCCCCACATCAGCTGCCGGACATTGGGCACATCAGGCGCATATTGTGGCGTCCGGATTGCCAAGACAACTTCGCGGCGGAAATAGCTGCCGTGGGACAAAGCGCGAGCACTTCTGACTTCTACGGATCGGGGGAGGCCACAACCAGCGACGATGACTTCTCCGACGCCGTTCATCGTGCAAGCCAGGGCTGCTCCCCTCTTCGACACAAAAGGAGTGCTTCAGACGTTCGGCTCGGCAACTACAGGGCCCGAAGGCACTGGATCTTGAAGAAGGTACATCTATTTCCTCGTTCCCTGTTTCTCACCAAGTTGTGAAGAGCACGCTACTCACCTTGAAATCGCTGTCCCAAATCAGTGCAATATCTGCTGAAAGGAGCACCTGTTTCACAGGCAGGAATAGAAGATCCGTTGCTCCTCAGCAGCAGCGCGCAGGACACCAAGTCGTCTTCTGAGAGCGATTATGGTCAGACAGTGAGGTAATGCATCGATGCCATGCCGCCCAAGGTCTCATTCCTTGCAGCTTCTGATAACGAATGCCACGAGCACCTAAAGTGGTGAATTTACGTCTACTGGCCGATTAGAGATATCATGTCACGGTTGTGCGGGCTTACATGCCAAAAGGTATGATTCTCCGCAGCTTTGGAGGACCCATCAGTGCACAGTGATAGTTGTCAGGCTGACCGAACACTCTCGCGCGCCCTCACACACGGTCGCTCCTCAGGCAACGGAAGCGAGGCCGCAACCAGAGGCATTGCAAAAAAATCCCATCAACCAAATATTGTTCTAGAAATGCCCCCACTTAGTAATCACCGTTTCCTTGTTCACCGTGCTTTTATCACCACGTTCACCATGTATAATCACACCATATTTAACACCGCTCCCCTTATAATTATCCACCATATATTCCTCGCTCTCACAAAAGTAGTGCATGGATCACATTTCTGGCGTCAAGAGGAGTCGGAAAATTTTGCGTGGGATCACGTGAGGCCCGTTTCTCAGCCGCTGACATGAGAAAACTAGAGTGTAAGCGCAAATGGGACACACTGAAATTGGCAAAATCTTAAATGTTTTAGTGCTAGAACGCATGACGCATTTTAGATCCTCAACTTGTGAAGCGCGGTTGGGCGTGTTGTGTGTGCATTGAGATCCGAACGAGGCGCAGGCGCTACTCGTAGTTCGAGTAATGCGTGCTACAACTGTGGTGATTTCCATCCATCGGCTAATCATCGATGTGTTGTTTCTCGCAGTCAAGAAGATCTGGATCAACTGCAGCACCGTTTCAACGAAATCCTGTCCCTCGGCAGCGCTCGGCGAGCCGCTCACCTGCCAACGTAACCTGTCTCGGAGACAATTCGCGTGCAGCACATATGGAAATAACGCGACCTGGACAGGGCATTGGGAAATTGTTAATGCATCATGGGATGCGCGGATGCCTTGCTTGTGGGGACACCATTGTGCGCAGATGCAGGTACTATCGTCGTGTGACTGTACATGATGTTTTGCACCATTGTTACAAAACTCTGGACAAGGGGGTCCCTGTCCACTCCAGGATCTGGCAGTGGCCACCTTTTTACGCCAACCCTGACTGGAGTTGCGGATCTCCCTTCTTTCCGTTTGAGATATGCAGTGCAATTGGATATATTCACACGTGTCACGTATCTTCCATATCAGAAGTGGATTCACAGCTGATTTGTTTCCAGAAACTATTCAGAATCGTGCCCAGAAAGAACTGAAAGCAGAGCTTCGAGCAAACGCTCCAAAAGCTGCGGAAAGTCGAAAAGCCATTGATGCTTCTTTTGTAGCGCGTTGGTACACCCCAACGAATAATATGCCTCGCCAGGATTGGTGGGAGCGATGGGCTGCGGGAACTTCCAACTGGCTATTTATTAGTTCATGGCATGCAACCTGAAGCCATTGCAGATGGAAGGCAAAGTTGCTCACTGTCTCTGGCAAATGCCACACTACACACACACGCCCCCACGCACACACGCACACACGCACGCACGCACGCACGCGCACACGCATGCATACATGCACGCACGCAGGCAGTCAATCCCAAGTACACGAGGCAGAGCCGGAACCGGATGAGTTGCAGGATGAGCTAATCAGCCAAGTAACATTCACTGCAAATATGCTCAGTCTGTATCTCACCGTATCTCCGTATTCGCAGATCTCAATACCTTGTTCACCATAATGACTCACACTGTTTCTGACACCGTGCTCCCCATTGCTCATTTGTCTATCTCGTCCTCACAGTCTCAAAAGCGCTGCTTCTCTCTTCTGTTTCCAAAATACTGTGACAGCGGAGTAGACGCCGGCGCTTTTCATCTTTCTTTTAGTTCACGGGCAACGGCCCTGTATATTTTGTTCCCACATATTCATTTGAGGCAAACACGCTGCCAAGCATTGTACTTCTCGTAGCACTTAACTCATTTGATTGCACACGCTGCATCTACCGAGGCACGATGTGGGGAAAAGATGGCGCTGCTCATCAGATCATTGCTACTATCGCAGCTACAGCATAGTTGCCGCTACGTGCCCATTGTGCCTACGCGTGTTCGCTGCACCGCACTGCGAATGTATTAGTCAACTGGAGGCCTGTCTGTACGAGGACCAATTTTACCTGGAAATGTTTCCGCCCGGCTAGAAGATAGCCGATTGAATTGTGTGTCATGCCCATCACGTGAGCTTTCACTCTGCCCCCAGAGACGCTGTCAGATTGCCAGGTGTGGCAAGCTATTGGCAATGAAAACGATGGACAATACCGCCACTGCGGTGGTAAGGTATTTCTAACTGTGGCCGGTTTCATTCCCAAAGTCAATGCTGATACTGGTCCCCCATCACCTCAGAAATTTTTTGTACACATTAATATTCAATTTCCTTCTTTCTACCTTTCTGTATACTGTTGAAAATGAACATCCCATTGGACTTCGGTCACCGACCGACGGTCGAGGTTGGCTCAGACACCACGGTGTCTTGTGCATCATTTCATGAAGGAGATTTATATGAGGTGTCAACCACCAGGCACATCCTCGGCAGCAAATACATGGCAGGCAAAGGTAGCTTGGTGTACTTGGCAGCGTTTTTTTCACCCAACGACTATGTGGCATGGGTGAGATCGCATATCAGGACCCCTGGAGCCTTTTCCGGCCACCCACGATCAGTCCATCACAGCTCAAAAGATGAGCGCACCACTTTTTTGGACGGACACATTTCCAGCCCGTTAAAGGGCCCAAGGCCGTTGCAAATTTTGCGTAATTTTTGTGAGTCCTGTGAATCTTCGTCGTCCAAGGCCCTCGTAATGCCCGTTCAATATTTGTATTTACACTTCGGAAATACCACCGGCGTTCAGTACTTGAAAGTTGGATCCAAATTCTGGCAGCGTCGTTTATACTCACGCATGTAGTTATTCACAGACTTCGTAGTCAGCTGACTGTATTTTGTGCTAAAGGTGATGGCGTTAAGGCAATCTCCATACACTTAGGAATGGACGTGCATTTTACATTTTAAAGAACTCTAGTGCAGGCACAAGGTGCATATGCTACACGCATCTGTACAATTTTCGAGAATTCAAGGCATTTTATAAGTACAACTTGCTGGCTATCAAGTGCAACAACTTCCATGTCATCGCCAATGTGGCATCTACTGGCGTACATTTGCTGTGTTGAACGGATGCAGTCCCAACGGTCTTGTTGCAGAGCCGTAGATATCAGGCTAGCCTTCTCGATAGGGCTGATAGGCAATAATGTGGTACTGATGTTTGGGAGACACCGCGATCGCCTCCTTACCTGCAGGCGAAATGGGATATGGCAAGGGAACCAAGAATGGAGTTGCAGTCAGAAGCAGAAACACTTAAGTCAACGTTCAAAGTGGTGGGCCCATAGAGTCGCTGTTTAAATGGAATGTTTGTCTTATATACAACACTGACTCCCAAATGCCGCGTCCCTTGGGATTTGTCACTCCTGAAAGCAGTATGAAAAACTTTCTATGCCCTAGCGCACCAATTGCTGATGGCCAATCCGCACCACAATCCCTGTTAAAGCCCTTTACACGACACTCCCGACTCCTTGGCGCACCGAGGGATAACTCCCAAATAGAAATGATAACTCCCATATAGGATGAAATCGTCTCCCAATCCACACGTTCATAATCTGATAGGTCACAGAGACTCCCGACCCATCCCAGGTCACTCCCGGCATAGTAACGTAGTACTCGTTCCATCATTCAGTCATCCCAACACATTGGCCCAATCATACCAGCCTTGATGTTCCTCAACCGGCCTTGACGATCCGCGCCCGGCCTTAATGATCCATTCCAAGCCTTGACAATCCGTTCCCCAGTCTTTACGCTCCAATCCCGGCCTTTACGCTCCAGTCCCGGCCTTTATGCTCCAGTCCTAGCCTTTACGCTCTAATCCTGGCGGAGGGGTGGGAGTGATGGGAGTCATCTTCATTGGTACCATCTCATGGTTTTGGAGCATAGAGGGAGTCCTTCCAGAGTCAGGGGTTAATCCAGCAGCTCAGAGGGCTCAAAGGGACGCAATTTGGATAGCCATCGACGATGGTCGCTTGTTCAAAAGGGTAACGGAACAAAGGAGTCAATCATTTAATGGTCATTCCATGATCAGAACGGCCTAGTACCCATTCACCATACTCTAGTAGATTCAGTCAGTCACGTCCTAGTAGATCGTGCAAAACACCCACAAAATAGACGAAACATTAGGGGTACCTAAAAATTCGCCACACCAACGGCCCCCGCCGCCATCGTTTCCTGTTGAAGTTGGCCATTTCCAGGCCATAAATGACAAGGCAAATGGCTTCATCAACTTCATCTCCGCAGCATCAACAGGCAACATTTCCAGCAGCACCAACCGACCGACATTAGCTACTTCATCAAGAGCATTTTACAGCTGAACATAGCGGCAGCATGAGGAGCGATCAACAGGCTACAATCTGACCAGAACTGTGCAAAATCAAGCCGCTCAGCGATCACAGTTCCGGAACCAGCTCCAATAGACAGTCTTACTACCCTACATGACCGACTACGCATCAACATGCAAGGTTCCGTCCGACTTTAACGCCCAGCATGGGATAACGACATCCTCTCACACACCCACAAGCCGTCAAGCGACCAGTCCGACATCCAAACACCGTCCAAGACCTCCAAAACGGCAAAAGCGC